ATCTTTGTTTGTATGTGGTGCTGAGGATCGAACCCGGGCCGCATGCGTGCCAGGCGAGCGCGCTACCGCTTGAGCCACATCCCCAGCCCCTGAAAATGTTTTATTAGGTGACATATTACAAATGAAGGCCTCTGTAAACATTCAAAGCTACCCTAAATCTAAATCATTTTGGTTAATATGATAAAAGTGAGAAGAAGAGGAAAAGTATTGTACAAACCCAGGGTAGAAACAATGTAGTGAACAAGTCTTGTCTCGGGATTACAAAGATTAATCCTTCATTACAGTTGTCATTAAGAGTTCTCTCTGGCCTAAGTGGCAGAGAACCTTTCCCACTCACCACTTCTGCGTGAGTTCAGGGTTCATAAGTCAGCAGATTGTTTAAAAATCTTCCATAATAGAGGTCCTTGTTTTCAGGAGATCCTGAGAGGAAAATCGAGCTCTTCTTTGGCCATATCATTTAGCATTTCAAAAGAATGTGTTTTGAGAAAGCCTTTGCCTTTTCACCTTGTCCTGTTGATTGCGTTTGTGGGAATCTCAGAGAAGGGCTCTTCAGAAAAAAGACACACCATTGGCCTTGGGCCTCTGACCGCCTGTGCTTCCCCTCAGTGGCCCTGTTCCCTTCCTCTGGAGCAGTGGGGTGAAAAGTCAGGACAGATGGAGGGGGAAACCTTGCTTCTGTTTTTCACAGGTCTTACAATTTCATGCAAATCATTTCCCAGCTGAGTTCTCTCTTTCCTCGGCGGTTAAAATAGGTTTTAAAATGTTTACCACATAGGACGGTGGGGAGAATCAGATGGGAGAATCAGTCTGTTCATCAGTAAGTGGTTTTTCAGGGAATATTCATGCCTGGGCTACCTGAGTGGGCAAAGCTGGGCCTCCAGCCTCCAGGGCCTCTGAGGGCACTCTGCAGGGCTGATTGATGGGTGGATTATGGTTCTTACGGAGGGTCTGATTCCCACTACATATGTTGTACCCATAAATTCCTTCCTGTCTGCCACTCTGAAGTCCTGAGATAGCCCCCATCTCTGTCCCAAGGCTGGACTACAGAGTATCAGAAGGGACACACTGAGAAGTTGTGTGCGTGCGTGCCTGTATGTTAGTGCGTGAATGTATTTTAAGTCCTTTGCTTCTTTCCTCTGTCGCTACCCCTTTTAAACCCTGTTAAGAGACTGAGAGGGGGCTCCCAGTGAGAGAGCACTTGCCTAGCTGTGCAAGGCCTTGAGTTCCATTTATAAAGGAAAAAAAAATGTGAGAGAGGAAAGGAGGGAGAAAAGGAGAAAGAGTGAGAGCACACAAGCACACTAGGGGAAAAAAAAAAAAAAGGCATTTTTCAGGAAAGGAAAAGGCGCAGTTGTTTCTTCCCCTCCTCCTAAGAAGCCCCCTCTGAGATTCAACTATATGTGAAGATCAGAAGAACGTGAGAGACGGCTGGGAAAACTTTCTCACAGCCAGGAGCAGGAGGAAGCACGAAGCCTGGCCATCTGAGACCGACGGAAACCCACACTTCCACACCCAGAGCAAGAGCGGGTCCTTCAGCCAAGGAGGGTGGTCAGCCAGGGAGCGGGGCAGGGAGAGGAGTCTTGCAGTGAAGGTGGCAATGTCCTTCCAGGATGGGGTGGGAGTACCCGGGCCTGTGGACACACCAATCCATCCTGACCCCAGAGTATGTATGTCCACCCTTTTGTGCAGAAAATGTGCAGGGGCGGGGTCCATGTAGGCAGCTGCCCTGGTCCAATTCCTCTGCTTTTCCAAAGGAAGGCAGTATCCACCTGGGACCCTGAAAAGAAACAAACAAACAAACAAACAAACAAACAAACACACACACACACAAAAAAAAATAAAAATAAAAAACACTGGACCTCTTGCTAAAAGTATGATATTCCCCCACCCCCTTGTTATCGATTGGACCCAGGAGTGCTCCACCACGGAGCTACATCCTCAGCCTTTTAAAATTCTTTTTTTTTAAAAAAAATTTTAAAATTTTGTAAAATTTTGACACAGGGTCTTGCTAAATTGCTCAGGCTGGCCTCAAACTTATGATCCTCCTGCCTCAGACCCCCAAATTGCTGGGATTATTCGCGTGGGCCACTTTGCTCTGCTCTGACCCACTTTGGGGTCTTTTAGAAGCTTGAGTGAGAAACATTTTATGCTGAATTTTCTGACACACATCTGAGGTCGACCGTCACCTCTGGGTTGAACTGGAATGAAGGAGCCCCATCACTTTGCCCTAGGCCCTTTCTCGATTTGCTTTCAGTAAGCTTTTTGGTGAGAGGAAATCAGTTTAACATTGAGGAAAAATATATATATATAAGGAACCACTTCACAAATCTTGTTGCTGACCATGGTTAGTCTAAGGCTCGGGCCATGGTGTCCTCTCCATGGGACAGCAGTGGCAATGCTTCTCTTTAGTGTCAGCGCTGGAGAGCTAGGAAGACTCTAGTACCCTGGTGACAAGTTTGTTTCTGTCCAGTGAGCACTGAATTTGCTATGCGGTTTGTTTCCTGCTAGGTTTCCGAAAAGCTTAGAATTACATAGCAGACATTTTCTGTATTAGCCTCATCTCTCGTTTTAGCTTGATTTTTGTCTTCATTTCTCTGGCTTTGTTTTTAGATTCTTTTTTTGTTTTTAACTTGCTGTACTGACTAAGGTGCATGTATCTTTATCATCTGCCTAAATCCTCTGATAAAGCCAGAGGCAAAGAAAATGTCCAACAAGTCGTATGCTCTGCTCCTGTACTAACATCACAATGGTAATCTGACAGTCCACTGAGAGTGTTCTGGAAGAAGATAATGTGCCCATCAGAAGGCTCCCAGGTCTTAGATGGCAGTTTGAGTTCCTGCTGCATTTTAATAAGCTGATACTTGAGTTCCTGTAAGAGGCTCTTGTGAGTTTGATAACTGTGTGTCCATCTGCAAGAAAGTTCATCTTTGAACCAATTATTTCCTTCATCTCTACCCCAGGCACATTATTCTTCTTTCACGTCCTCGAACATGCCAAGCTCTTTCCTACTTCAGAGCCTCTGCACGTACCATTTATCTCTGCTTAGACTGTTCTCCTCCTCTCCCAGGCTGCCTCCTCTCCCAGAACAACTGGGGGAGTATAAAACAAAATTGCTGTCCATGTCCTTTGGCAGCTCAATTCAATTACAGTCTTTGTGGGTGGGGCGAGGCATTGATATTTTCTGAAAATCTTCTCAGACGATTCTAATTTTCAGCCAGGGTGAGAAATACAATTTTGAGTCTCAGCTTAAATGTCAGCTGCTCAAAGACGCCGTCTTTGACCACCTCTAGAATATAGCTATTATGGTCTTGCCATCTGTGCAGCACGTTTTCTGATTCCTTTATAATGGTCACCGTAATTTGTTTTTGTTACCTGTGTTTGACTATTTGTTTGTGTCCCCCATTCTTCCCCAGGATTTAGGTGTTGAGAGGCAGGGAGTTTATCTGTCCTGGTCTTTTTTCTGTACATGGTATCAGGCCCGTAACAGGGTTCTGAATCTGCCTGTGTCCCTAGGCCCTTCCTGTCACTATATACTGTCTCGTGACATTCACAGGGACTGCATAAATCCTTGCATACTTGAATGGACTCTATTCTTATGGCAGGTAGTTTTTAACCAAAGTATCACCCTCAGAAAGAAGATTGACAGTTATTTGGGGATTTGGGGCATGGTGGGTTGTGACCACATCATGCAAGTTAAAAAGTTGGTTTAGGTAATTCAGCCATAATCAGAATAATTACAGATGGCCTCCACACCTGGATTGCAGAGAGACAAGAAAAGCAAACGTATGTTTTTAGGCAAATAACGAAACTCGGAGGAGTCTGAAAACAACTCAGCGTCCAGTACCTCCCTTCACAGGTGCAGGGCCACCCAAGCAAGGGCCACTGCATGGGGCCACAGGAGCTTTTGCTATGGCTGTGTCTGTTCTTTCCAAATTATTATTTGGTAGTTACTAAAGCAAAGCAGATAGCTCACCTCCTGTCTTCATACCATCAAGCTGACCGTGTGTAAGCTCTAAGGTATTTTTCCCTAAGTTTAAATTAACCAAGACCAGTCCATGTGGGGGATGTGTGTGTGTGTGTGTGTGTGTGTGTGTGTGCGCGCGCGCGCTTTATTTCACTTCCTTAAGGAATCATCATGGTTTCTCACACCTCCTGTCTCCAGTTGCATGTGGTGATTGATTTGTTGAAGGAAAATAGAGGCATAGGGGGGAGAAGTGGTCCAGGGAGGGATCAGTGAAACACAGACCCAGCTGTGCAGTAGGGGCCTCCCTCTGCCTCTTGGTGGGGAGGTTTCACCGTCTCATGGAGAGAAGTGCACGTGTACACCCCCAAACCCACACAAACGAAACCCCCTCTGCGGAGAAGCGGGCCACAGGAAATTGACTTGAGCACAGGAACTTGCTAATCGCTTTTGTCACATTCAGATTGTCCCTGCTCCCTCAGTCACCTCTGCGCGCTGAGCCCGACCAGCTCGGGTTGGATTCTCTATCAGCCCAACTTCATGCTTTAAGTTCTTCCAACATGAAGCAGTCGTAATCTTGGGAAGGAGAGAAGTACCAATCCTCGAAGTAAATCACCAGGCTGATGAGGCTTCGCTCGCTTTTGTTTTGACAGATCCGTGCCCAGTAAATTTGATTTCCGGAGTCAGTCATCTTGGCGTCTTCTTCTACGACAGGTAAGAATTTGTTTCTTTAAAAATATTTCTTCAGCGTCTACGGGAATCTTTCTCATTTTATTTAGCTTTAGTTTAGGCTGAGCATCGTGGTTCTCTTGTTCTACTTGAGAGAAGGAGGGAGAGTGGTTCTGATCTCCTCTCCCCTTCAAAGTCCTAACAAAATGCATCTCATTTTTTGAAAACATTAAACATGATGATACGCAGCCTTTTGGTTTTCCAGATGTTCTCCTAGAAAATGCACTGTTTGTAATTGACTAGGACTGAGCTCAACGAGCTAGGTGGTTTGAATATCACCCAGTGTGTGATGAAGTAAATCTAAAGATCCTCTAACGAGTATAAACATCAATTTAAAATTTTTCTAGTTTGGAAGCAGAACCAAAATCAAAATGATGTAGATTTGGATCCAGTGTTTTTAGCTTGTTTGTTTCCCCTATTGACAATGCTACTATCGACTTTCTAAAAGTAGTATATAAAGTCTATGTTTTGAAGTTAAAATTGGCTTTTGAGATGGTTTCATTTAGAGACAACTTGTGAAGTACCAATTAGTTGCCTGGGTTGTAAATAAGAAAGTCTGGGAAATCACCAGTTTTAGGTGCGTTATTAAATCACAGCTGCCAGTGAAGAATTCAAACAAGCAACCAGTAACCAATGTTCACTTACGGGTTCTAAGCTGGTGCTTCGGAGGGGATGAGAGAAATATAAAGAAATATTTCCTTTGAATGACCCCATAGTCTAGTAGTTGCAATGAGACATAAAACCCAGGAAGCAGTGTAAGATGGGACTTTAGTGACAAAGGGGGTGGCATGGGCTGTCACAGTTACAGGAGTTCCAAGGAGGGGCTCTGGGAGTAAGCTGGAGGAGTTGGGAAGGTAAGGGCTTGGCAAGGATGTGAAGTTGGAGCAGATGGAGAAGGGGAAGGTTATTTTAGACAGGGAGGACGGCATGGGTCTTTGCACAAGTGTGAGACTGACTTGGAGATGACTCCAGTTGAAGAGATGGCCCAAGAAGACAAGAAAGTTTGTTTTGCACATTAGAGAAAATAGGATTAGAAAGCTAGGGAGGACCTTAAGGGGAAACTAAGGAGCACAGACTCCATTGGAAGGAGTCTTCTTATGGCGCTAGGTTCCGCCTATCAGTTCTCTCTGCTCTAACGGAATTCCAACTTGAGTGGAATTTGGGGATCTTTGCCATCCTTGGGGTTGCTTTCTTATCCCTGCACCTGTCTGTGGCCCTCCATTTGTCCCCGACTATCTTCCCCTTAGACCGTCATTTATGCAGAGAAGGGATTGTGTGGATTGGGGTGACCTCCATCTCCCGTTTCAACATTTTCAGGAGGCCCTTCAGGGCTCTGGTAATTGAAGTGGCCTTCTTCATGGGAGAGCGACTGGTGGATGGATAGGCTTGTCTCTGGTTCTCAAAGCCCAGTCCTGGGCTAGGCTGGGCTCAGTGGTAGAGCACTTGCCTAGCACGTGTGAGGCACTGGTTTCTATCCTTAGCGCCATGTAAAAATAAATAAATAAAACAAAGGTATTGTATCCATCTACAACTAAAAATAAAAATAATAATGATAGAACACCAATCCAAAAGTTCCGTGAACTATGTGTTCCCTTGCATGTTGGAATGAGATGTTATGGATACTCTGCTGTTCTTTCCCTGGGTGTTCCTTTAGGGAGTAAGTATATCATGATTCTTGGGCCATGAAATATCTGAATCCATATAATAACAAACTTATAGTATGGTGAATAAGAACCCTGACACTGGAGCCATATTGGCTTGTGCTAAATCTTGGTTCTATCATTTTTGGTCTGTGGGAACTTCAGACAAATTACTTAAATCTTTGATGTTCCTATTTTTTAAAAATCTGTAAAATGGCTTTAATGGTAATAATAACTGAAGAGACCTACCTCAGAGGGTTGTTGAGGTCATAAAATGGTTATTATATACATATATCATATATATTTATAATAAAATGGTGTTATATATAATATGACATGTATATGTATATATGTGTGTATCACTGAATCTAGTACCCAACATTAAATACACACTCAAAGATGTAGCTTTTAATATTCTTATAAAAACCTGGATATGGACAAATGACAACAATATGACCCATCTTGGGAGAAAGCTACCTGCCGACTAGCTTTTTAAAAACCAATATTCCTTTCAAAGGAAATTGGTGGCAGAGACTGAGAATCGACATTTTTTTTAGGCACCAAGTACAAACTAGACACAGGAGTTGGGTGTTTTATAGAGATACATGAAAAAAAGAAAATCAGATTAGAGACTGATTTTTCAAGTCTTTCTCTGTCACTTTCTCAGGCTCCTCTGACTATGCGCTGCCTCATTTGTGGGCACCTGTGGTTGATGTTGCTCTCTGAATGCTTTGGGTGGAATTATCGAGGTGCTCGGAGTCAGAGGCAGAGTGAGAGACATTTCTTCCTTGGCCAGATTAGATTAATTTTTAATCTTTACAATATTTCCATTTTAGGACTTGGGACCATTTTGAGAGCGAGTGTTGAAAGTACTTATTTGGGTTCTAGATGCTTGGGCCTGGGGGAAGGCCAGACAGGATGAAAAAGATCCTGTTTCCCCTTCTACTCCCTAGATTAGAGATTCTCTTGGATTAGAAAGCCCCTCCTTAAAAATGCAAGTACAGCTGGTACGTTAATTATGCAGGAGATTCTCAAGTATGTGTGTAGATTACTTTAGTCAGAGAGTAATATTGTTTTCTTTCTAGTGAGAACATAGGGAGGAAATCTGGGCCTTCATATGTGGAAAGGGATGGGCAGGAGTCAGGATGGGGTGCCCCGTGGAGGCTGGAAGACAGCATGACAGTAGTGGGGGATGGGTGGGCAATGAGAGAAGCGGGGTGTCAGAGAACGAAGGGGTGAACAGAGGGAAAGGCGGGGTTCACAAGCACACAGCCCTTTCATGGTTCAGTCATTTGATTCCAGCAGCTGTGTGAATGCGCTGAGCAACTTCTTAATGACTTGCATAAAATATCGCCCAGCTACTCCCAGAGATTTGTCTGATTCTAGGCTGGAATAGTTGCTCCTAAGGCCAACTGGACATCAAAACCACCGGAAGAGCTTTTAAGAATTAGAAATTCTCAGGAGCAATGGTGCACACCTGTAATCCCAGCAATTTGGGAGGCTTGAGGCAGGACTGCAAATTTGAGGCCAATCTCAGCAACTTAGTGAGACCCTCAGCAATTTAGTGAGGCCCTGTCTCAAAAAAAAAAAAAAAAAATAGGACTAAGGATGTAGTTCAGTAGTAAAGCACCCCTGGGTTCAATCTCCAATACCAAAAACAAAACAAAACCATAAAACAAGATCTAATTTGACTTGGAAGCAGTGATTTTATGGATGGGGATTTGGGAGTCATTAATCCAGAACCTTCCCACTGGGGCCATACACACTGAGATGGTACATTGAGTAAGCGCTCAAATGAGCCAAACTATCGTCTCTCTCGTGTGATGGATATCTTCACACAGAAAGCATTTTTTTTTATTTGAATTTATTCCTTGGAATGAGTTCGTGGGAGTGGGATGACTTGGTCAAGAGTGTGAACATACTTAGCTTAATCATATTTACATTTTAATGTGCAAACATAGAGCACCACTTCTTTAAAAACACGCAGAGGCTATATGTTATTATTCTGATCTCAGAGAAAGAAGTTGGCTTTCAAGGGAGAAAGTGCCAAATCACTTCTCCCACAAAATAGAATACAAATGAATTGCTTTTGGAAGAAATTTCCAGAGAATTGCTGAATGTTCAATGACTTCTTGGAGCTTAAATTGGAACAGTCTTATCTGTGCACTTAGTTTCTCGTAAAACGGATGTCAGCAGTGACCTCTTCCCCATTTCATAGAAAAGAAAGCCAAGGAACCAAGGCGGTGAAGTAATATGCAGGATGATTCTCATCATATTGGCCACATAACCTATTTGGCTTACTGTTAAAATAAATAAATGACTGAGTTGTTTGTATGCATGACCTCATGGGGATAAAGCACTGTAAAATAAATGCATGGGGGATGGGTAGACACGTAATTGACCAAGATATGAGATAGACTTCCCACCTTTTTTTTTTTTCCTGCATCATTATTATTCATTATTTGTATAATCTGCTCCCCTAAAAGCAGGGTCATCATTTGGGAATAAGATGAATTTTCAGTAGTTTCAGTAGGGAAAAAAATGCTATTGCAAAATACCAAGTGACAGAATACAGTGGTGTTCCAGAACCAGCCTGCACTTGCTTGGAAGAAATGATTGTAATATTTTTGTACATTTTGCAAGCCAGTGTTTACTTCTATTTCTCCGTGTAGTCAAAATACTTTATGATGGTGTGCTTGATCATCTCTCTTCCTTCTTCATTCAGTGAGATCATGTTGTAAACTACAAATTGGCTGAAATAGAAGTATTTATGCCACAGAAATCAGAAAACACAATAAATCAGGCTCTCCACCTTCCCCCGCCACCCAAGACCCTGCTTTAAAATATTTTGCAGCATACCACCAAGGAACTGTGGGAAATGCAAATATGGCAATTTGACAGTACATGTCAAGATGTTCATATGCTTTATCCATTCATTCCATCCCTGGAAATTTATTCCAAACAAACAATTCAAAGAAGGAAGAAACACCATGCAGGAACACATGCACTGTATTATCATTTATAACAGTGAAATCTGCTAAACACTAAGCAACAGGGGTTTTGGCAGCTTTAGCTCCATGGAATATTTTGTAGTCATTAAAAGTCCTAGTTAAAATTAGTTATGAAAATATGTTTGATGAAATGTTAAGTTAGAAAAGCAGGATTAATATTTTCACTTACATCTAATTTTATGACGATGAAAATTAAATGTGAGCCATTTAATTAGAAAAATGAAAACATTCTGTGTTAGAGTGGTGAAATAGCTGAATTTGCTTTTTACTTCATTTATTGTAGTAGTGGTGTATGTGCATTTAAAAATTTTGGAGAAGATCTGTAAAGAAGTGG